CACCATACCCATCTACTCATCCTATGAGGACTCTTCTAGCATGGGTGGGTTCATTGTCAGTAAACCCAATGAAGCCTCATCCAAAAGACAGAAAACCCCTCCCTTGACACAGCTTGAGTATGAAGCACAGCAACAACATCTTTCATCAGCCCAAGACAACATACCTAGAAGGGCTCCCATGCCCAAGTCAAGAGGACTTGGAATGCCTGGTTTTGAAGAATCAGAACCACAAATACCATTCAATAGATTTGTCCAAACTGCAGAAGAGTTTGGTGGTCAGGTACTGGAAGGAATGGACAAACTCATTCAGATTAATGACAAGCATTTCGAGCACCTTTCCCATGTGAATGAAAACCTCAATTCTGGGATGCAGTTCATTTCAGGAAGCTTTGCTTCACTGACAGAATCTCTCAACAACTTCATGGCTTCATCTACTGCCAAAACAGATGTCCTTTCAACAGAAGTGGAAGGTATTCATAAGACCCTCTTCACTTTCACCAGACTCTGTTGGCTCAAGGTAAGGCTATTGGCACCATATCTGAGAACCTTGAGACTCTTCAATGGTCTGATCGCAATACTAAGGAACAATTGCTAAACATTGACGAACTTTGCAAAGTCCACCAAGATCAAGCCAAAACTCTCCTCGCTGCTGACAGAGACAGATATCAGAAGATGGTATTACTTGAGGCAAGCAACAAAGATATCTTTTCTGCAATCCAGAAGCAGCAAGGGTTGATAGAAGGACGCACTTCTGTCACTCAGACTCTACCAGAGGCCATTGAGCAGATCGCCACATCACAGGCCTCAGAGTTCCAGAGGCTCAGCCTTATGCTAGAGGATCTTCATGATGCCAAAAGGGGGAAGAGGACTCTCATCCTCCCAAGCCTAAATCTACCAGAACCCCTGCGAGGGCATCATCTTCTGTTGATCCCACTCCCTACTTTGAAGCTGCAATACAGAAGAAAAGAGCAGCCGGTATACACAGACCCCCATCTCCAGTTAAGAAGGCCTCCAAGAAAAAGAAGGTCCTCAGTTTCACTGATTGGAGACTGGGTGGATCCCAGAAAATTGACAGAGTTCAATTTGAAGAGATGAAACAGAAAATGACTATAACACAGCAACAGAACCTCTTCTTGGATAAAGATGGCTATGTAAGAGTCAGACATGGTGGACACTTTGAAGAAGCAGAGAATTGGTACCAGAAGAACATTGTTCCTGGCAAGACAATACATGAAGGAGTTCTTAGCTACATGGACTGCAAGCTATCTCCTATCTGGGCCTCCTATCAAAGTTCTGGTAACCTATCACAAATTAGAGCAGAAATCAATGAAGAACTCCAAAGGATTCAAAGACTGGAAGATGAAGCCTTGGCCGCTGCTACTAGGGAGAATGTGTAAGGGAACTATTCTGTGAACTATCTCTAATAAAATCACATCTCTGCCTTTCACTTTGTAAGGTTATTTCTTCCTATCTATATCTTACTGTTCTTTGTCTTATTATGTGCTTTGATTTATTATCTGCTATCTGAATGTACCGTACTCTTACTATTTTCCTATGCCAAGTTGCCCACCAAGATATTAATGAAAGTTTTATACTTTAACTCTTTATGGTGAAGACACTTCTCTGAAAATAGTTAAAGGGTTTTGGCATCATCAAAAAGGGGGAAATTGTAAGGAATAATTGTAATTAGATTTTGATGATGCTATATTAATTAGGACTTTAGAGTACCCCTTCTTTAGATTTAATGTACTAGAAAATTTGCTTGTAAAGTTTCTTAGATTAGTCGACTGACAGAAGACCTCCTGACAAAAGACCTCCTGACAGAAGACCCCTGATAGGCTTTGTCCTAACAGAGGACCTTTGGCTCTCTGCTTCTGAACAGAAGACCTCTGGGTCTCTGTTAGTTCTTACACGAATATAAACCCTCTTGATTCTCTATTGGACTTACCTTCAACAGAAACCCTCAAGAGTCTCTGATAGCTTTCTCCAACAGAAGTGCTCAAGACCTTCTCTGATCGACTCTCTACTGAAGACACCAGAAGGCCTGGCACTTGGAGAATTTTACCAAGCCGATAAAACAACCGATGATTCCTTCAACGGCTAGGAATCTTGAACGGAAAAGCTACAGTACGCGCATTAAATGCACATTTAATGCCTCTCGTACTCTGTAGAGTAAATGCAAATGATTGGCCGCAATGTCAAGATAACTCTATCCCAAAATAGTAACCCGCCAACTTTGCTGGGGCCTACTGGTCAAGTCAACTGCTCACACATTTAATGCAGTTGTCCTCCTCCTCCTCCAACGGGAAGAAAACCTCAGTATAAAAGATACATTACGAAGAACAACCAGACAACTTTTGCTACAACATTACGAATACAGAAACATTCAAACATTAAAACGTACAAGCCTCCTTGTGATTAAACCTTCTTCATCTTCTACAAGAGAAGGCAGACGTTGGAAAGATTATCTATTCACATCTTCTCATTTCCAACTCTAGCAAAGTTCCATTCGTTCTTCAACACTTCAAGCACTTCAACAAATACATCGTTTGTAACGAAGCAAGTTGGAAGAACCCCTGTTTCATCTAGAAACTCTTCTTTAACGAGAAGGACGTCCAAGTAACTGGAGCAGTGAAGTGGTGATACTTTCGGGAAGCTCAGCGACAGGACCAGTCTTAAAGGAAGCTAGGTAGTGCATCCTAGGAGACATCTAGACTTAAAGAAGACGTGGAGAGCTTCTTAAGTGCTAGGACTAAGGCGTTGTAAACAGACGTTTTTACAAGCTTAGTGGAACAGTGGATTAGAGGAACGAGTTGTTCCTTGAACCACAATAAAAATCCCTGGTGTCATTTACTTACTGCACTTATTTATCGCTTTTTGTTTGAACTGATTAACTCCAAAGACTTGGTCTCTATGTTCAGCAGAACGTGTCTTGTGAGTTAACAGAAGGCCTACTGCCTTTGCTTCTCTGAGGCTAACCGAACAGAACCCCTACCAGAACCCCATCCGCTGCCAGTCTGTTTTGTCAACAGAACATGGTATTCTGTTAATTGTGGTACTTAGTTTGAAAAGTTAAAACCAGTACAGTATATTCACCCCCCCCCCTCTAGACTGTACCCAGTATAACCGGGGCCAACAGGTATCTTGCACAGCTTCACCTTACCTGCATCTAAAACATCACGAATAAAGTGGAACCTCACATCAATTTTCCAACAAGTTACATTCTGTACACACATAAGTTTCATTTTCCATCAACGCGAGTTACATTTGTAATAACACAAATTAAATAAAAATATCAACCCCTGCTATTGAAACAAACAAAAAAATGATTTTTTCTAAAAAAATATTTTTTATGGCCATGATATTAAAAATAAAATATATTCCCGTTTTACCTAAAGCAATTGTGCAATTAGACTCTCATTTTTCATTGTTTACATTGAAATCAATATTTTATTTCTTATACTATGTATTTGACAAGTTACATTTCGAACGGACTTGAGTTATATTGATCAATAACGCAAGTTACATATCTTTACACGCGAGTTACATCATTCATGCTACTGAGACAAAAAGAAAAAAACAAGCATTGTACACGCATGTATTTTTCACGCGATTTTTTTTAAATTGTGAAAAACTAAGTCATTTTTAGGAGTGGAGCATGATGCTCAAGGTGTGCCGATTGCACCATATACGAACTGATGGAAATATGTTATAACTTGCACCACTTTCCTATTTTTTGTAAATGTTTCATTGATATATACATAAATTTTCTTAGTTTTCTCAATTTTTATATAACTTTCATTTTAAAGTACTCATAGTGACTATAAAACTTACGGAAAGTTTCCGAAATATGACTAAAGTTGTTTGAAAATTCCAAAATATGACTGTCATGTTTTTTATTCCCAAAATAGGAGTAATTACTGTCAAGTTTAGAAAATACTGCCATATTTGAAGTCTGGTACTGCCAAAACATGACAGTAATTAGTCCTATTTTGGGAATAAAAACATGGTAGTCCTATTTTGGAATTTTCAAACCTTTTTTGTTCTATTTCGGGTAATATTCTCTAAAACTTACGTATCGTAACTTTTCACATTTTTGTTTTTAGATTTTTTATTAGTAATATTTTAGGAGAAACCTTGAATTTTATAAATTTTCTTTTAATATTTGTTCTTATAGCTCTATCATTTTTCCTTTAGAGTCATTAATTTGTATTCATACTTATTTCTTCTCACTTGCATAAGCATTTATTATACAATTTTTATTTTTCTTATTTTACACATAATTTTAACATGGCAATGTTTAGAGTTTTTTCAAGAGCCAAACAAAAAAGTATTTACAAAATTGAGGTAGGGTTAGAAATATTTCCCAATCTACTGCCACAATTAACTCTAGTTTAATTTGTAGAACCGTCAACTCCATCGGCGGCTTAGGGAAAATTAAAAATTAACTCTAGTTTAATTTCTACTAGCTAGAGTTAATTGTAGTTAGTACACTTGTACATGAAAACTTTAACATAACAATCCATGACGTGTTTCTTTCAATTTAATTTTTATTAACATGTCAATCACTGTGCACATTATTTCATAATTATTATGACTTACTATAGTTATTTCTCCAAATGAGGAAGTATATTTATTATTCGTTTAAAATGATTCAATGGATATAAATCTCCACAAAATTAAAGCATAATCATTCAACTAATTAATAAAATTGCCACAAATGCCTCTCAGGTTGATGTGTAGGATTGTTCTTTCCGATAAAGTTACTTAAAGTAGAAATATATCGACATTTTTCAAACTCCATTCAGCTTATTATATATAGGAAGACATTGCTTCATTGCTTATTACCGGAGTTTCTATCACAAATATTCTTAAATATTTCCACAATGAAATTCCATGCTTATTCTTCCTCAAGAATGAAGTGTGAATATAAACTTCACGTTTTGACATTCTCACTCCTATTCGTACTCATTTCGTCCAGGCCTTTGCCATATGATCCTATCATTCCAGTCCCTGAGATAGGAGATGGGAAATGGATACCGCCTACTGGACCAAACCCTATTCAAAACCCCGTTTCCCACACTAAATCATCATCATCTTATGTTCCTATTATTCCGGTTCCTGAGATTGGAGGTGTTAAGAGGATGACGCCTACTGGTCCAAACCCTCTTCACAACCCTGCAGCCCCTAAATCAACATCGTTCTTTACATATGTACCTATTATTCCAGTTCCTGAGATTGGAGGTGTTAAGAGGATGGTGCCTAGTGGTCCAGACCCCCTTCACAACCCTGCAGCCCCTAAATCATCATCGTCCTTTACATATGATCCTATTATTCCGGTTCCTGAGATTGTAGGTGCTAAGAGGATGGTGCCTAGTGGTCCAAACCGTCTTCACAACCCTGCAGCCCCTAAGTCATCATCGTCCTATACATATGTTCCTATTATTCCGGTTCCTGAGATTGGAGGTGTTAAGAGGATGGTGCCTGGTGGTCCAAACCCCCTTCACAACCCTGCAGCCCCTAAATCATCATCGTCCTTTACATATGATCCTATTATTCCGGTTCCTGAGATTGGAGGTGTTAAGAGGATGGTGTCTAGTGGTCCAAACCCTCTTCACAACCTTGCAGCCCCTATATCATCATCATCATCTTATACATATGTTCCTATTATTCCGGTTCCTGAGATTGGAGGAGTTAAGAGGATGGTGCCCGGTGGTCCAAACCCCCTTCACAACCCTGCAGCACCTAAATCATCATCGTCTTATACATATGTTCCTATTATTCCGGTTCCTGAGATTGGAGATGTTCAGAGGATGGTGCCTAGTGGTCCAAACCGTCTTCACAATCATGCAACCCCTAAATCATCATTGTCCTATACATATGTTCCTATTATTCCGGTTCCTGAGATTGGAGATGTTAACAGGATGGTGCCTAGTGGTCCAAACGCTCTTCACAACCCCGCAGCCCCTAAATCATCATTGTCCTTTACATACGTTCCTATTATTCCGGTTAATGAGAATGGAGGTGTTAAGAAGATGGTGCCTAGTGGTCCAAACCCTCTTCACAACCCCACAACCCCTAAATCAGCATAGACCTACATAACTCTTGTCCCTCATAGTGAAGATTTGAAGAGATCGTCTAATCCCCTATTGATCCAAACCCCATTCGGCCCCTCAAAATAATAATGATAGGGTGATGTAACTTTGTATACCATGTTTTTTATTTGTCACAAAATTTTGATTTAGTGTTGTGTATGACCAATGAATTAGAATGAATAAAGGATTCATACAACCAAAAGTGAAGAATGAGGAATGTTTAATACATTAATAAGTGTGGTGTGTTTGGCGAAATGACAAAGTCCAGTTTCTACAATGGACTTAAATATTCTCCTCAAAAATGATTTTTTTTTACATTTAGCTACACATCTACCATGGGATATCATACTTGGTACTATATCTTAAAACCATCACGTTTGGCTTACTATTTATTACTGTTTTATTTTTTTCTTTTTGGCACTGGTCAATACATTGGTGACTTTAGGTATGTCAGGTTTTCACCTCTCCAGCTCAGACCACGCTCAAACAGTACACAACCAAGCACCACCGGAAGGGACAGTCACACTCAGGCCAGCCCATCCATCTCAACGCACACCATAGGTTAGGAGGGGAAGCTCAGAGAGAAAACACCACAGAAGAATCGAAGGAGAAGAGACAGAGTCTCTCTCGTTCTCTCTTGCCTCTCTCTCTCTCTAACCGAAGGATCTCGTCCGCTCAAGTGCAAGCAGAAGAGCTTAAGTACCAAGGGATGCAAGGAACCCTAATAGAGGGTTCTAGAAAAGGGGCTAGCGAGAAACATACATGGGCCGGAGTCTAGAGGCAAGTAAACAGGCCCAAAAAGACAAATAGGGTTGCCATGGCTTTATGGGCCAATACCTCCACACTCTCCACCTTATTGGCCATCATTGGTGGTGCAAGGTATCACAAAGTAACATGAGCATGTGGTTCATCATCGTTGGGTTACCAGTGATATCCTAAAGACATAACTGGCAAACAAATTGGAGATACACAAAATACTCCCAAAAGAAAATTGGAGAAGCACCCGAGGTACTCTCCCTAATCGTGAGAGCAGATTCTCTCAAGCACTGCGCTTTCAAAAATCTACCCTCCCAAATACCCAAAACCTGCAAACAGAGTTAACCGCGGTCCGAATTTAAAATTCGTTTACAAGACAACAACTTTTCAGCAGACAGACACTTCGTCCCCATATCTGCTGGGTTGAACTATGAGGGTATCTTGCACAGCTTCACCTTACCTGCATCTAAAACATCACGAATAAAGTGGAACCTCACATCAATGTGTTTGGTTCTATGATGAAAGACAGTGTTTTTGCAAAGCTGGATAGCAGACTGGCTATTAGAAAACACAGTGACAACCTGTTTAAGAAAACCTATTTCAGTGACAAGACGTGTCAACCAAATGGCTTCCTTGAAGGCTACTGTACCTACAACATACTCAACTTCATTGGTTGATAAGGCAACAATAGGTTGTAACTGAGATTTCCAACTAATACAAGAACCACACAAAGTGAACACATAGGAAGTGGTAGATTTCCTATTGTCTTTATTATTAACATAGTTAGAATCAACAAAACCACTCAGTTTCACACCTTCAGCACACTTAGTAAAAATCAAACCATGATTTGCAGAAAATTTCAAGTATCTCAAAAGCCATTTCAAAGCATTCCAATGAGGCATACCAGGATTAGACATAAACCTACTCAAACAGCTCACAGCGTAGGCAATATCAGGTCTAGAACTAACAATCAGATACATCACAGAACCTATAGAATTAGAGTAAGGAATAGACTTCATAAGCTCAATTTGAGAAGCAGTCTTAGGAGACTGATTCTTACTTAGCACAAAATGAGAGGCAAGAGGTACATGCACAGGTGCAGCAGAAGACATATTAAACTTACTCAAAACCTTCTCAGCATAAGAAATCTGATTTAGAACAAGAGTATGTTTGCTCCTGTCCCTAACAATGTTAATCCCAAGTATCCTCTTGGCATCACCAAGATCTTTCATAGCAAAATTCTCACAAAGGCATTTTTGAACAAATATAATAGATTTAAGATAAGGGCTTATAATCAACATGTCATCCACATAGATTAACAAGAACACTGGAACATAGTTAGTATTCTTGAAATAAAGACAATGATCACAGGCAGATTTCACAAATTTCATAGACTGCATACACTTGTCAAACCTAATATTCCACTGCCTAGGGGATTGCTTCAGGCCATACACGGCCTTCCTAAGCAGACAGACATGGTCACTCCTCTTGGGATCCACAAAGCCCTCATGTTGAGTCATGTAAATTTTCTTATCCAATTCACCATGCAAAAATGCAGTGCTGACATCCATTTGTTTCATCTCCCAGCCATGGTGAGCAACCAAAGCCAACATGATTCTAACAGTAGTAAACTTAACTACAGGAGCAAAGATTTCTGCATAATCTACCCCCTCTTTTTAAGGAAACCCCTTGGCAACTAACCTAGCCTTATACCTAATGTTGTTACCCGGTTCTTCCTTGACTTTAAACAGCCACTTGCACTAAACTACTGAGCTGTCATCAGGTCTAGGAACAAGGGTCCAAGTCTGGTTCACTCTCAGAGAGTCCATCTCACTTTTCATGGCCTCAAGCTATCTCTGATACTCTCTAGACCTTATAGCTTCACTATAGGTCTTAGGTTCATTTAGGTCTAGGGCCTCAAACACAGTAAAAGCAAAATCAGATATAGCACACGCAGTAAAAGCATAGTCAGACAAAGTATCAGATTTTCTCTTAATGATTCTTCTACCCCTATCCCTAACAAGTTGGTAGTCATGCAAATCAACATTATCATTCTCAGCAGAATCATCAAACACATTGGTTCCACTAGACACAGAATCATTATGCACATGGTCATCATGAGTATTGAACTCCACCTCACTGGAGGTAGTAGTATCACCAGAAGTATTAACATGCACATCAGAAGGGATGACATGTACAAAAGGAGGAGTGTCATACATAACAGAAGGAATAGTAGGCACAAAAGGGACCTGAGGCTCCACCTCAACAGGTGTGCTCTCAGGTTCATGCTGAGAAACAGTTTTAAGCAAGGAAGGGAAATCAAACTCATTGAAGATTACATTCCTACTTATAACCACCTTAAAACCAGGCACACTTCTATCCCACAACCTATATCCCTTTACCCCATCAGGATACCTCAAGAAAACACACTTTTTGGATCTAGGATCTAACTTATCAATTTTCTGATGAACATAGGCTGCACACCCAAAGACCCTAAGGTTTGACAGGTCAAGAGGCCCACCAGTAAACTTAACTTCAGGCATTGACCCCCTATGGGAACAGAGGGAGATCTATTTATCAGATAGGTGGCAGTGGTAACTGCTTCACCCCAAAACTTCTTAGGTAAACCTGAGGTAGACAACATACTTCTAACCTTTTCAAGAAGGGTTCTATTCATCCTTTCAGCCACCCCATTCTATTGGGGGTGTAAGGCACAGTCTTATATCTCCTAATGCCTGAAGTGGCACACAATTGGACAAGCTCATGGTTACAGAACTCTAGGCCATTATCAGTCCTAAGGGTCTTAACATTCTGTCCAGTTTGATTTTCTATAAGTAACTTCCAGGCCTTAAACTTCTCACAAACATCAGACTTATGTTCTAGAAGGTAGACCCATACTTTACTAGAAAAATCATCAATTAAGGACAAGAAATACCGTTTCCCCCCATGTGTGGGAACACTGGCAGGACCCCAAACATCAGCATGCACATATTCAAGCACAGAGGAGCACTTTGTCATATTAGGATAAGGGGATAGAGGGAATTGGACTCTATGTTGTTTACCAAGCACACATGATTCACAGAAAGTCAAAGAGTTCACAGAGTCTTTACCAAAGTAACCATTTTTATGCATGAATTCTAAACCTTTATTACTCATATGCCCTAGTCTATTATGCCACAACAAGGTTTTATCAGTATGCACAACATTCACAGCATTCACATAGTCAATATAAGGTTTAACATGACACACATAAAGGTTGTTCACCTTCTTAGCTTTAAACAACACCAAAGAATTTTTCAAAATTTTCATACAACCATTCCCCCACTTTCCCTCTAATCCACTACCCTCCAAGGCAACAACAGATAACAAGTTGTGACACAAACCAGGGACATGCCTCACATTCTTAAGAGTAAACACAGAGCCACAAGAAAACTTAAGACATATATCACCTATACCCAGAACATTGCATCTCTTATTATCAGCCAAGGAAACATAACCCATATCACATTTCTCATATTTAGAAAACAAGTCCCTAAAAGGAGTCATATGATAGGTGCAACCAGAATCAGTTAACCATTCATGCTCAGTCAAGGTATTCCAAACAGAATTAGCATGATCACACACCATGAGAACCTCACCAAGGTCATCTCTCTCTATAGCTACACTAGCCTGCTCAGGTTTCTTGGGATGGGGACAGTCTTTAATAAAGTGTCCAGAATTGTCACAGTTATAGCACACACACTTTCTAGACTTATTCCTCTTCTTACCATTTTGGTTACTAGTTTTAGCTTGGGCATCCTGTTTCTGATTCTTAGACCTACTCTTAGATCTACCCCTCACAAACATAGCCTCACCAGAATCCTTGGATTGACTAGAAATACTCCTATTATGTTTAAGGTCAAACTATTTACTCTTAAGGCCATTCACAACGATATCAAGGGTGACATCATCTCTACCATATTTAATAGTAGATTTAACATCATTATAAGAATCAGGAATAGCATTAAGCAACACAACAACAGTATAATCATCAATATGCTTATCACCAGATTGTTTAATGTTCTGGATCAACTTATTAAAACATCCAAGTTTTCATCAATGTCTTTGGTTAGGTCTAGCCTAAACCGAAAGAACTTTTCAAGCAAAAACAGTTTACCAGGCAGAGAGGTGTCAGTATAAAGATCATCTAACTTAACCCACAACTTTTTAGCAGAGTCTAAAATACCAACCTTTCTAAGCACAGAGTCAGGTAGGTTAAGATAAATAGTAGAACAGGCAGTTTCATTCATTTCAGCTTTCTTAGCACTATCATCAGAATCCAAATAATGTTCACTTACAGCTCTGAAAACCTTTTGCTGGATTAAAACGCATTTGATCTTTTGTTTCCAAATGTCAAAATCAGTTTTCCCATTAAAGGGTAGCATACCA